GTGCCGCTCCCTGGAGGTCGGAAAACTAAAGGCTGACGGTGAACAGTAGCCGCTTGATGCGGGGATTACGGCTGAGAAATCAATCGGGCCGGATTCAGGAGGATCAAGGCTTTCCAGTCGACGCGGTGTTCCTTCGTTGTCACCTTCTTCCGCGCTGGGCGCGTGTTCGGTCGTAACATAACTGTTGTGGTTGCTAGCCAACGATATAGGGGACAGAGGCGCGGCATTGAAGAGGGGAATGTGTCCCAGACCCTCATTCATGTTTGTGCCTGAATCCAAGATAACGCCGACGTTGGTTTGAAGATAGTCGGAAGGCCTCAGCTTGACAGGAGGCGGTAATTCAAGCTCATCGATGCTACCCTCGGACACGTTGCTGGCAGTAGAACGATCAGAGATCAAAGGACTGTTGATTGAAGACATATTGGCTAGGGCGTCTGCAGCGGTCACCTCGGCAGGACTATGGGACATGACTAGGGAATGTTGGCTGGTTGCTGAGTGCAATGAGTACCTTGGACCCTGCTTTTATACCCAAGTAATGATAACCACGACTCAGCCGCCGTTTTCTCTTGTTACGCAAAAAAATTAATAAAACCAAAATAAAAAATATGAAGTTTTGCCCTGCTCCCTTTTCAGTAGACCTCGAAACATCTCTGGACGCTCTTTTCTCTTTCCATACTTTTGTTTCTTGCTTCTTTATCTACTACATCATTTCCCTCTTCTTTTGGTCGCAATCCCCAGACACCGGGCCCGATTGGGATGAAACACGAAGTCACGACTAGAGGATTGGGGGAAGACGACCTGCTCTTGCCAATTCGGGAATTCTCTTTTATCAGTCAAGCAACGATAGACAGGCTGAACGCTTCCAACGAAAGCTGGAACCTGTTCTTAGAATCTTTTTGCGCCGACTCCGATCGACTGCACCAAGAATTTGAACGGCGCCAACAACGACGCTATAACCGGAACAAGTTGTTCTATCTGATCCATTGGGAACCTGAGTACAGACCGCCTCCAAGTCGGCGACAATCAATCTGAAATGGAATCAACTTCTTGGCCCCTCAATATTTCCAGGCTATCCTTCCCTGGCCGGTCAAGCTCTCCAATCTGAGTCCGGGTACTACCGCCGCGGACCTTTGTACGGCTCTAGCCTCTTATGGCAACATCACCCATTCTTTTCTTCTTGTTTTGAAAACGGCAAACCTTGGCGCTATCATCCATTTTGCGGATCACAGAACCGCTGCAGCCGCAGCAGCCGACCTGGATGGTACATGCGCAGATGGATTTATTCTTCAGGCTAGGCTCATGAGTCATAAAGAGCAGTCAGCCTTAGCCCTTTTGCGCCGAATGAGCTAAAAAAAAAAAAAAAAAAAAAAAAAAAAAAAATTGAAACATAGGAATTAAATCCCAAGCCCCTTACCCCCAAAACAACACCCTAATTCCTTGGCCTTTTTCTTCTAAAAATTCAACTTCTCTTGTCATCTGCTTCCCCCATCCCTCCCAGATGCAAATTTGGGGGTGGTTAAAATAAATAAACAAAAAAAATCTTAGTATAAATTGATAAAACCAACCAACCCCTCTCCTCAAAAACAAGCAATCTGTCTTCTATTACTTCTTCCTTTTCTTCTTCTTCTACTTCCTCACTCCTTTTGTGCCTGAAATATCCCCTCTCTCACCATTTGTAAATTTTCCACTTGTTTGTGCTTCTTATGTGAAATTAAGTAATTAATTTGTGTCCCATATTTTGTGTTCCACTTTTTGTGCCCATTTACCCTGACCCAACCTTTTTTTCCCTTATTCAAGATTTCCCTCTTCTTTGTTTGGATGATGGGGTCATCATCTAATTTGGGGGTGGATGTGGTAAGCCAATCTTGAATAAGAGGCCCACAAAATCAAAGCATCAAGCACAATATCAAGCCCTCTGAATGACAAGACCCTCAATGATCAAGACCCTTCTGGATTATTCAATCAACCTGCAACACCATGGATGTCACAAGACCAAGCCCCCTGGACAGAAGACACTCTGGATTCTCATTTCATTTCATTATTACATAATCATCTCATGCAGTCTTACATCATCAATCCCCATTCAGCCTTCCACACTTGGCCTCTGCATGTGTTTCAATCTATTCCACTTTCACTCTAGCTTCATTTCCACTTTGGGCCACATTCTATTGTTTCACACTATTCCTCTTGGGTTATCTTCATGTCTGTCAGCCTCTGGGTAACTAACCTGAGTATTTAATAGTAAAAAGGTTGTTACTATGAGTTGACTGAAGTTTTTGAGCGTGGTGAGTGTTAGGTAGTGGGTGATTAATACCAGTCCTGTAAAGAGGAGGTTTCACTCTATCAGTATGGTCTTTACTGAGAGGCGTGCTATCAACAGCGCATCCGGATCAATACAAGGTATTAATAGGCATCCAGGGTACTAAGACTCACCTGGGGTTGATTTGTTTATTCCCCAAAAGGGAATGGGCTAACAATACTTATTAAGCTTTAACAAAATTAGTTGAAGATTAACAGGTATTGTTGATGGGAATATTCAGCAAGGCTATGAATACTGTGGATAAGTTGAGTAAGAGTACTGAAGCTTAAGAACAGTAAATGTAGACTAGATTTATGTTGGTTAAGTGTACTGTATCAATATAAATGTTAACTGGTTTAACTGGTGTCTGACTATTCTGGGGATTAATCAGTGAAAGAGGCACGGATTATAAGTTCCAGAATATTGAAGGAGGGAAAGAATGAGCGCTCAGAATCAAGGGAGCTTTGGCCAGGAGAATGAGCACATCAATTGAGTGACTGATCATTATTTGTCATGATCTGTAAGTGACATCATAATTGTGTACTAGTTGATCAATGTACTAGTTGCTCTTGATGCGTGCACTTGACAGATCCTCTAATAATGTAGTCATAATTATGATCAGTACATGTATTGAATGTATTAATTCTATTGACACTTAATACTTACTATTTAGTACATGTACATATTTATTTGTAATAATATTTGACCGTGAAAATACTGTAGCAGAGGGATAACTTGTGGTACAGGTATTTCACGGACAAGGGAGTGAAAGGTAAGTGATAATTACTTATGTAGAACACAGGTATGTATTTAATAGATAAGTAATTAACAGATAAGATAACTGTAAGATAAATAAGATAAGTTAATAATAGAGATAAGATAACAAGAGGTAAAGGTAATCAACATTATGGATAAGTACTTATGTACATAAGTACAGGTGTTGCAGTTACTTGGTACATGAAAGGTACTGTGACATGTACTCTGTGGCTGACAATGTCTCACACTAGTACACATTTGGCTAGTTCATTTATCTCTTTGGTATATTCTTCCTCCCTCATTGGTTGTGGCACATTTCATCCCTGCATGTCTCTGATGTCATTTTCCCCATTTATGTTAGTGCCTACCAATTGGGCCACATGTTTCAGTTTGATAATTTTCTCTTGTTCCATTTTGTTCCATGGTGTTTCCAACCACAAGCTGGCCGCTCCCCAGATTTTGTATATAAGGAGCCTTGTTTTCCCCTCTTCATTTGTTCATCATCAGATCCTGCCCCAGCAATCCCAGATAACTGATCACCCTTCATTAGGCTAGTAGTTGCCCATCAACATTTGGGATACTAGTATTATTCAGACAGAAGACCAGAAGACAGAAGACATACCCATCTCAAGAATTCTCCAAAGCCACACCTTTCCTTAAGAGTCCATACTCTTATCTTTTTCTTGTTATCTTACTCAACCCAGTTACCAGAGAGGCAGCCCATTAAAGCATCTTTCCCTCTCCAGCTCTATTCCTCCCAAGAGTAGTACCACACCGTGAGTGAACTTTTGGAATTGGGCCGTTTTGTTTTGAGCGTACTGGAATTCTTGTGCTGTGGGATGGCAAGGGGTGTGTTTCTTCTCCGGTTGAATTGCCGGATACAAGTGGCACTTTTGGAAACGGCGGCGAGACCATATCACTCGTTCTCTCTCGTATGATGAGGCATCAATCTCCAGGGACAGTTCAGATTGCCTGTCTGCAGCTTGTCGGCGTCTACGTGCAAGTGACTTGAGGATGTTCCTGATCTTGGGTCTCTCCGCTTCCATTATCACACGTCCCAACCAAGTTCTAAAACAGATTGGAATCGCTTGAGAGCTAATCACAAAGATAAACTCAACCAGATTAATAGATGATAGCCAAAAATTGACTGTCTGCAGCAGCAATACCACAGGAGCACTCCCTTATATAGGCCTGGATCTGAGAGTGGTAGATTCCAACGAGTCAGTTGATGATCAAACTTGAAAGCTATCCACATTCCATTGGTATCACGGTGAGTGTTTGACTGACTTGTATGGCTGATTGTTTGAGGCATGGTCTCAACTGTGTTCACAAGAGGATGATTAAGTGATAACAACAAGATGTTGCTTGTAGGATGGTGGCAGCCCAAAAAACCTAATTGAAAGAGAGTACACGTGAGTTCAGCCTTCTGAATAACCTGTTTGGTCCTAAGAGGATGGTCTCAAGAAGGCCAGCATACCTCACTGCGGAGATCGAAACAATACCTCACTGCGGAGATCGAAATGGTAATTGTCAACGTAGCCGTTGAATGTAGCAGTGTGATGAATGCGACTGGCCAAGTGTGATAGGGGCTGTTGTGTCCTTGCTACAATCGACGAATCAGTGTTTCAAATATATCAGCTGCGTTTGCAAACGATTAGGCCGTTATCATTGGACACAGGAGAGCCTTACCGCTGTGGTAAATAATACTGTGTTTCTACGCAGAAAAATATAAAAATATATTATTATCTTTTTATATATTATATATATGGTAAAAATAACATCAGAAATGGATTTCTCAGGTAAAATTACCCCTAGTCACCCACTACAACTACCCCCTTATCTCTATCAGTTCAGAAGTTACACCTATTTCAACCTATCACAGGATATCTCTTGGATTCTTTACTCTGACTATAGCTCAATTTGAATACTGGATGCATATTGGATATTGAGTTCCTTTGTTTCATATTGAATTCCTTTATTAGCTCATATTTCATATTGAATTCCTTTGTAGGTGCACATGCATTCCTTTGTAGTAGGACCTTGTAGGCTACCTAAAATCCCTCAAGGCTGTGCTCTGACCAGCCAAATTCCCTCACCTGCATGCACTAGACTAGCTAAATTCCCTCATTGTATTTTCAGGCCAGCTAAAATCCCTCAGATGCATATACCCTGGAGCTAAATTCCCTCACTTTTGTCTATATAAGGAGGCCTCTGCCTGCCAGTTGTATTCCCTCCTCATCAGATGCTCTGTAGTCAGTCCCCCCCATAACACTACATCACTGGTCACTTTTCAATATTATTAGCTACCTAGTATATAATTATAACCCCCCCTTATATATTAGGGGGTATCAAATATAAGAAATCCACCATTAGAAACCAGTCACTTTTCCCAAAACTTTTTTTTGCATCAATGGGCCCCAAAAGGGGTTAAATGAAGAACCAGCATGTTTAAAAAAGGGTGTATTTTTCAAAACCAGTCAATTAAGTAATGGTGGATTTGGTTATATTTGATACCCCCTATTATAACAGTTTATAGTGTAGAAACATCAACATTACTTTTTTTCATAACCACTAAGCTATCTCAACTTTGCCTGAAATCCACTGCTTTTTGCCCTTAATTATACACCCCAACCGCAAGGACCTGGGTTCAATTCCCACTCAAGACATCCACTTTAACTCCACTTCAACTCCATCTTAACTCCACCTTAACTCCAACTTACCTCCACCTGTGCCTGGTCCTACGTTCCATTCCAGGTTGAAGCATAAAATTTATATACCATCAACCTCGAGGTTGCGCGTTCAAGCCTCACTCTCAACACTTATCATTGACACCTCTATTAACAACTTCATCAACAACAATCATCAACACCTTCAACCGTTATACGTATCATTCGACAGCTTCATCTCGAACTATCCTCTATCACGATATATAAACTGCCAAGCTGAGCTTGGTGGTCTTGTTGTTCTGATAGCATAGAAGGGCAGAGCTTGCAACTCCATCATCCCCTTCTCCATTCAGCAAAAGGGTTTCACAACCACTTTTGAGTCTTACACCGCGAGTTCGGGCAATCGGGCGATTCTCAGGTGTTGTTTTCGGGAAACACGGATCAGGTCAGGTGTGACAGGGTTATTGGCCGGTGAACACTTTGATATGTCAAACAACAGACATCATTACATCAGGTCTAGTGTTTGTTGAGGTCTGCAGATGAGGACACCATGACGAAACAACATACCTTATCACCGCGAGTCGAGTTACCTAGTTTTAAGTGTCGTGATGTTGGGGAGGTTGATTGCCAATCGGTGGGGTGAGGTGTGCGGCAAGACAACCACCGACAAAGTATATTGGGTGTTGGGGGCCAGGAGTAGTTGTGAGCTTGTGGAGATTGGCGGCTAGTTGCTTGGGTTACACCTACGGCAATACAACTCGTTTGGCTGGTGAGCGGTCCTAAGATCCGGTTAGCCGCTGTGGTAAGCCAATCTTGAATAAAAGGCCCACAAAATAAAAGCTTTAAGCACATAATCAAGCCCTCTGAATGACAAGACCCTCAAGGATCAAGGCAAGCCCCCTCTGGACTATTCAGCCAACCTGAAACACCATAGATGTCACAAGACCAAGCCCCCTGGACAGAAGACACTCTGGATTCTCATTTCATTTCATTATTAAATAATCATCTCATGCAGTCTTACATCATCAATCCCCATTCAGCCTTCCACACTTGGCCTCTGCAGGTGTTTCACTCTATTCCACTTTCACTCTAGCTTCATTTTCATTTTGGGCCAAATTCTATTGTTTCACACTATTCCTCTTGGGTTATCTGCATGTCTCACACTAGTACACATTTGGCTAGTTCATTTATCTCTTTGGTATATTCTTCCTCCCTCATTGGTTGTGGCACATTTCATCCCTGCATGCGTCTGAGGTCATTTTCCCCATTTATCTTAGTGCCTACCAATTGGGCCACATTGTTTCAGTTTGATAATTTTCTCTTGTTCAATTTTGTTCCATGGTGTTTAAGCTGGCCACTCCCCAGATTTTGTATATAAGGAGCCTTGTTTACCCCTCTTCATTTGTTCCTCATCAGATCCTGCCCCAGCAATCCAGATAACTGATCACCCTTCATTAGCCTAGTAGTTGCCCATCAACATTTGGGATACTAGTATTATTCAGACAGAAGACCAGAAGACAGAAGACATACCCATCTCAAGAATACTCCAAAGCCACACCTTTCCTTAAGAGTTCATACTCTTATCTTTTTCTTGTTATCTTACTCAACCCAGTTACCAGAGAGGCAGCCCATTAAAGCACCTTTCCCTCTCCAGCTCTATTCATCCCAAGAGTAGTTCCACACCGCAAGTGTTGGCTGAGTTCGCCAGGAAGCAGAATTCTCCACGTGAAGGGGGCCCAAGCATCTGATGAAAGATGGAGGGGCTTTCACCGCAAGATGCCATGTCACCCATCATCTGGTGACTACTTGCCAGCTAAACCCCCACCCTGAATCGCAACTCGCCAGCGGATGGAATCAGCAACCCTTCAGAACCTTTGCAGTCGTCTCGATTGTTTGCCCAGGTCAGGGTGCGGGGCACCCATCTCCAATACACGTGGTCTCCAAACCAATGGGCCAGAGGAACCAAAAATAGTCAAAATGGTACGCGACCGCCTCTCCAAGCAATCAACCCCAGGCGCCTCAATCCCTGCCAACCGCATTATGGGCTGTTCACCGCTGATCTAAGACAATTAAATCAGCCACGCAGTCAAACCACCCGGTGGCGAGTCGACTGACAGCAGCTCGTTGTCATCATCCAGCTCAGGCTCTTCACTAAATCGACCAAAGGCGAAACACGGCCGGTTGGCAAAAAAGCAGAACCTTCAAGCACGGGCCCTGCAACCGCAAGATGGAGGAGACCCGACGAATCCACCAACGACGAGAAGATTGCCATCACCCGTCAACAGTTGCCACCTCCTCCTCTCCCAAGCTCCCTCCTCGACCCAGATCTAGCACTCCCTTGTCTCGATTTGTCGCCGGATTTCGGTCTGCCTGCTGGATTTGAAGGCAAACCATCTACCCGTTGTAGGACTCCTGGGACGGATAGACACAGTAAAGTATATGTATATCAAAAGATCCCTTGAGGGGGAAATAAATTGCAAATAGGTTTAAAAGCTATTACAACTTACGGGTGGTTTGAAAGACCTGCCCCTCTAATTGTACTAAAAAAATAACTAAGAGTCTTGTAATCAATATTTAAGGATATGTGGCTGATTCCAAGATAGATCTTACTTTTGTAAAGTAATCTCTATCAGACCTAGATCACGTATCAATCTACTAATGAATCTGTTACAACTTCAGGTTAATAATGGAAACTGTGGCGCTTATGGTTGAGCGCAAGACAGTTGAATTTGTTATTTAGAGTTTGTTAATGATGTCTTCCTCGAACAATTTCTTGCTAAGGCACTTTAATCACAACTAGAGCTCTGGTGTTACTACTACTATTACTTGTTATTTGTTATTTGTTAATAATACTACTTAATTTCACTTTGTTATGGTTGAAGGGTTCTGGTTCTACTACTTATAAATCT